ATATATATATATATATATATATATATATATATATATATTATTTATTTATTTAATGGATTACTATGGGGTTTGCAAATATATGTTATGAAATAACATGTGGCATGTTTTGAGACATTTTTTTTTTGTTTCAGGCTTTGTTCCCTGTAACACATATAGTGTCATTTAATCTATAATACAGTGATTTTGCTCACACGAAACCTCTAGTTCATGACTTCACCTTCTCAGTCTATAGATGTGTAAGAAATGAGCCTGTCAGGAGTTTTTGACACACCGGCGGCAGTGCCGGAACACAGGCTGAGATCTCTGTCAGTCGTCAAAGTCTGGGATGTCATCATAGGAATAACCTCGATAACCCTTGGAGGCGTAATAGGCGATGCGCAGGTGGTAAAAGCCCGGAAGAAAGACCAGGATCCCAATAATCAGCACAGGGATGGTGCGATCGCGGTGCTGAGAGACACACACAAACAAACACAGGGTCAAACACAGCAAAAATAGCTGCTTCTTTATTTTAGTCAGATCTGAGTTTCAGTAGTCATGTCAAAGCCGTAAGTAAATCAGCATATTATCATCTGTAAAAACATTGCTGGAATTAAATGCTTTGTTTCCAGTAAGGACTGAAAGAAACTTGTTCATGCTTTTATCAGCAGCAGAGTGGATTACTGTAGTGGACTCCTCACTAGCCTTCAGAAAAAGACAGTCAGACAGTTGCAGCTCATCCAGAACTCTGCTGCCAGAATTTTAACCAGAAGCAGAAAATCAGAGCACATCACACCTGTCCTCAGGTCTTTACACAGGCTCCCAGTCACATTCAGAATAGATTTAAAAGTATTACTACTGGTCTGTAAATCACTAAATGGCCTGGGACCTAAATACATTACAGATACGCTCAATGAATACAAACCTAACAGATCACTCAGATCTTCAGGATCATATAAACTAGAAATTCCAAGAGTTCAGTCAAAGCAGGGTGAATCAGCCTTCAGCTATTAAAAGTGCCCCTGCTGCTGGAATCAGCTGTCAGAAATGATCAAGGCAAGGAGGGAGGAGGCAGGGAGGGGTTTTGCGCTCGTGCACATACGCTCAGTTTAACGTTAATTCGGATATACAAAGAGAATATGCGTGTGATTCCGCGTACGCAGTGTTTCATACATCTGAATATTTTACTGCATAAGCACATTTACAGCTTTGTGCGATTTCAACGCAAGTCTTTATGAGGCCCCAGATCCACAACATCAATGGGTTTGGAGGACAGGGTGTTGGTGGGCAAAGCGAGGCCTCATGAATCACTGAAAGTCGAAGCAAATGTGTCGAAGCTTCAAAACGTTTCGAAACCCCACTCTACGGTGACACCTAGTGGTAATTTATGTATTGTACTGAAACAGCTTCAGTTAAGAACAGTCTACAAATTGAAGTATTAAACCCCACATTGTAGAATCGAATTTTCAAGTGATTTAAGCCTAGTTCACACTACAGGATTTTAAACATCAGCAGATCGCTGTGCTGTTCACACTACATGACTTGACTTAGTGTCTTTTGATCTCTGTGGTGTTCACACTACGCAACACTCCGTGAACGATCCACAAGAGGGGGGTCACACACTACATGATCTGACAACATTTCATTCCCCATCAGCTCATTCAAGCTACCAAACCACAGCCAATGAAAATTTGAGGGAGGAGTCGTCAGAAAAAGCTGAACACTATTGGCTGCTTGCGTGCTGATGACATCACTGACAGCTTTTCAACCTTTAGAGAAAGCATTTAAAAACATCGTCAAATCAGCTGATTTATGAGCGGATTAATCACTCATCTGCAAGGTTTGAGTGGATAGATACACAGAGAGTTTTTAATTTTTGTAATTTTATAACTCTTTGAAATAAAACTAACATATTTATAACACCCTGCCGTTTTCTAACTATCAGTGTATTTCTTTCTGACATTGTTATTTTTTTATTACAAAACAGTAAAGAACTGAGCATTTCTGCCTTAAATTACCATATTGGTCAAAATGACTGCATGCATGTCTGATACTTTTCACTGTGACTTTAAATATGTGTGCATTTTCTTGCCTGACAACTTCCTGCTAACATAAACAAAACTTTCTGATGGCAAAAACATCAATTTAGTTCAGATATCTTTCAAAACAGCATATTCTGTGCTGTTAAATAGCTCCTGTTTGAAAGTGAAAATGAAAGCCAAGCCTTTAAGTGTTTTAGTATCTTAACTACATATTTATAGGCTGTATTACCAAAAAAATATTATATATTTAGGGTAATGGTGTCATTAAATATGATGCCAGACATTCAAAGCTTAATTTTAATATCTCAATAGAAGCTTTAATTGTAAATATGTTGTGACAATATAGCGTTTCATATAAGAACCGTCAGAATGAGCAGTATGGTAATTCTAATAGTTACAGAATTCTAGTTCCACTGTTAATATATCTTACTCTCATGTCTGTGCTAACGTAGAATGAAGCGAGTGCACTGATGCCCATTCTGACCAATCACAGATGTTTCTGCTGAGCTCCTGAAAACACAGGCATTCAGCTCATGCTGATATGCTCTCTCATTGGCTGTAGCTCGTCACTACATCTGACCACACGTGGGGTTGAGTTGGCCGACTGCTCTGGAATATTTAGCATGCTGAATGTTGGATTTCCGTCTGCGAGGTGTCGGCGACGTGTCAGCGAGCCTCATTGATGCGTTGTTCAGTAGTTCACACATAAAGAGCGGCGAGCGCCGAGCACCCGCAGATTTCTTCCCGATCACAGCCCGATCTGTCGGCGAGCTCGTTAACTTCCAAATCGGGCTCAAATCAGGCTTAAAATCCTTTAGTGTGAACTAGGCATTAGTAGAGCGGTTAGGGTTCCTGACTATCATGCAGGGATAGTGGGTTAGAATCCAGGCTGATACAGCTTTTTTTTTTAAAGTGCTTTAATATCAGTTTGAAATGCTTTTGTTCTTTTATCGTTTTGTTTAAACACTGGTCTGACATCCGAATAAACACTTTGTGAATAAATATGTTTTGTTTTGGTCATAAAACAGGGCTGTTGCTAGATCAGACACGGCTGTGGCCAGAAGTTAACAGGAATTATTTATATTATTCATTAAGTTTCCCATTGTATTTCATTAACGTTTACCCAAAACCTAAACACAACCATCACAGTACTGTAAACATATAATTATTGTTTTACAGTGTTACAAAAATGATGCCAAATTGATGACGAAAATAATAAAAACAGAAAACAGAAAACAGAAAATAATAAAACTGACAAAACTCATACTGACGTCATCTTACGGAATAAATATTTCTTTTTTCAAAACAACAAAAACATGTAAACATCATTCACATATTCAAAACAAAGGCTAATAAAAATGCTGTGAAACACATTAAAATAACAAAGTTCCATAAATAAATAGTCCTTTGAGGCATTTTATAGTGCAGTGTGAGTGTAGGAAAATCCTAAATCTTAGATTGTTTCAGCCTGCATGCAGTCTCTGCTCTTTTAACAGTAAGCACCAGTGTGGATATCCAGGCGGATTCTCCCACGTCTGTGATCTAAACACAGCTCTATTATCTGGACTAACTCGAGAAAAGGGCAGATTGCAGGTGGAGGGGTTTCTTAAGAGCTGTTACTAATGCTGAGCATCTTTCTGGGGGATTAATCTCCACATCAGGTGCCGCACAGCAAGAACACACTGTAATCTCTCAACATTGTGTCAACAAAACAGTGGTAGTGATGAAACAAAGTGAGAACTGAATTTTCACTGCAAATAAAATCCATAAAACAACAATCAAATGAATGCACGCTTGCACTAATAAATGCATGGAGGACTTCTCTAGAAGCAGAATAAAGGCAGAAGCAGAGCATGAAAGCAAGGCATAAAGCTGTAATAATATGCTGTTGCACTCACATCATTAACTTCAAAGTATCCTGCTAACAGGAGAGACCCGATGATGATCAGTATGGAGCCGATGAGGAAGAGGCCGGTTGCCAGGGCGATCGCTTTATACGGGACTTTAGGTGGACTCCTCTTAAACTGAAGAGAGGGGGGGAAATTGCTCAATATTACAAATGCAGAATTAAAAATCAGAGCAGAGAGTATCATACATGTTCAGTAAAATATGAACAATGCATTGAACTTTGGATTTGCATCGAATCAGTGATATAAACATTGAATCATTTATAAATATAATATGTATTACAATATTATTTATAAATAATAGTTATAATATTAGGCAAGATAATAAATATCTGAATGTAAATTTAAGTAATAAATGCATTAATGTTTTTTGTACAGTACATGACAGTGTGTCTTGCATGTTATTTTATTTTAAGAAAAAAAAGAAACACTTTTATCATGATTTACCCGCTAAAAAGTCATGCACTATAACTATATTTTATATAGCAAAATATCTTTGAAACAAATTATTTGATAACTTTATTTAGGGCTCACAGTTTGGCCTCAAATATACTTATTCAAGAGTTCACACTTAGCTGACGATTGATTATAAAGGTAACACTTTACAATAAGGTTCATTAGTTAATGCATTTACTAACATGAACTAATCATGAACAACACATGTACAGCATTTATTAATCATAATTAAACATTTACTAATGCATTATTAACATCCAAGTCCATGTTTGTTAACATTAGTTAATGCACCATGAGTTAACATGAACTAACAATGAATTAACGTATTTTCATTAACTAACGTTAACTAACATGAACAAATACAGTGGTAAATGTATTGTTCATTGTTTGTGCATGTTAGTAAATGCATTAATTAACATTAACTAATGAACATTATTGTAAAGTGTGACCATTATAAAGCGTGTTTGGCATGGAGAGCCCCGAGCTCATCAGATCCTCGAGCCTGATGCTCCCTCCTGTTGTAGGGTGAGGGGAGTTTGAGCTCAGGCAGATCTCAAGAACCCCCCTGCTTATTTATGGCTAATGACAAATTAGGGATTGTTATGGAGAGATATACTGCTGATTAGGAGCTTATCTATGGTGCAATTTGGTTTGGTGAATTAACTTGTATTGCATGTTTTTGGACTGTGGTAGGAAACCAGGTAACCCAGGGGAAACCCATGCAAGCACGGGGAGAACATGTAAACTCCACACAGAAATGTCGACTGGCCTGGTGAGGACTTGAACCAGTGACATTCTTGCTGTGAGGGAACAGAGCTAACCAATTGGCCGTGTGCCACCTATCAAGGAAAAAGGGCGGAAAAGTAGGGGTGAAAGGGTGGAGTCTTCAAGACGAAGATAACTGAGGTGAGAAACTCTGGTCATTTATAGTAAGTTAGGAATCGTCTGATTGGTGCATCATGTGTTAACTGATGCAGGACCAGCCGTGGTCAAGCATGTGATCCTCTCAAAATTAGTTTATAAATAAACTCCACTCCAAGTTACCTTTACATGCATACACACACACACACACACGCACACCCACGCACACTCACGCACACTCACGCACATACCAGTACCTGACTATATTGTTGTTGTTTTTGTTTTGCTTTTGTTTTGTTGCTTTGTATTTGTTATTTGTTGATGTTTTCTTGTATTTGTATGATCTTTGAATATTCTAATAAAAAAAAATAAATAAATAAATAAACTCCACTTATTAGTCTTTTGATCATCATTCATTTAAAACATGCAATTTACTATGATCCTTATTATTCTATATATTTAATAAGCACTCAGGTCAGAATGTTGTTTTAATTTTTAAACAATATATCACTTATATTTTATTTTTGTTAATTTGATTTTCATATTTGCACATTCAGACGTCCGCATACTTAACATTATTTCAAAAAAGTAGTTTTGACATTTTATTTTCAAAAAAATTATGATTTGAAATGTCCGTTTCTCAGTGGAACTTTATTGTGGAAACCTAAAAATAAATCCTTTTTTAAAATATTTTAAACCCACGTCAATCTGATACACACCCTATGTTGTTATAGCATGTACATATGATAATATAAGTAGAATTTGAACTTGAACAGTATAACATTGCAACATTCATTCAAATTTCAGACTGTAATTTCTTTTATTTTAATTTGTAAATAGTCTTTTATTTATTGGTTAAATTGGCCGTATAAAGACAGACTAGAAAAACAAGTAACCACCTGGTTTTGGTCAATTATCAGGTCTACAAAAAAAATAGGGAATTCATCGGCCTTGCACTGCTACCGTTTATCGCTTAGATGGCATGATGGTACAAGAGGGGGTGCTTCTTGTAATGGAGGATCGAAAACAATTCCACAAAATATACGTGCTGTTAATGAAAGAAATACATCTTATTAGTTTTTGATGCATTTTCCCTCTTCATTTACACATATCATGATATTTTGTGGATGGTTTTCTTGTGATACATTGCATTA